GGAGCAACTTCATGTCCAGTACACAGCTTCGCGGATGATAGTACCCTCCAAACCGCCTTCTTTACCAGGGCTCCAATACCAGCCAGGCAAATCAGATACGAACGAGGGCGGAATGTTGACAACATAAATATGGGCTTTGCAACAATTCTCGAATGAGAATCCAATAGATTTCAATGCAAACAGGACACAAGTATGCCTTTTCTCTATAAAAGCCGGTCTAACTGTGCCCAACATAAGCTTGTCAGGAGTAACCATACCTTTGAAGACATCCATTTCGATGCTTGGTATCATTCATCAGCAATAATCTTTCTTGGGAAAATCACGTGAGATCATTTGCTGAAAGTGCATCCCAAAGACTTGGTTTTCTGTCTCGAGCCAGGAGCTATTTTACTTCCAGTAAGCTGCTTATGATCTACAAGGCACAGATCCGACCTGTCCTGGAATATTGTTCCCATATTTGGAGTGCAGCACCCAAAATATACCCTGAAACTGTTGGATTCTGTCCAAATAAGGGCAATTCGTCTAGTGGGTGATACCTCGCTCACAAACTAACTTACTTCTCTGGAACACTGCAGAAAAGTTGGAGATCTGGCTCTATTTTATAAATATTTTCATGGACGATGCTCTTCTGAAATATCTACAATTGTTCCTCCCTCGGCAGTCCCCACGAAATTAACCCGTCCAGTTGAGGCTTCACACCCCTTCGTGGTCACTTTGTAGACCTTCAGAACATCTCTTTCCAAAGACTCGTTCACGAACAGCGAGTCTCTCGAACACATTGCCAAGGGAGATGTTCTTCGAGGCAAATTACCTCCAGAAATTTAGGAAGAACACCAATTCCTACCTTATCTCCCTTGGTTCTCACGATGTTCTCTGAACATTACAGGATATCCTTTTTCGTGGGAACCAGAACATGAAAAAAGGATACTACGATCTTACGACGAAGGCATGCCAACGCTGTCAATGCAGATTTCGCGTAAATTAGAGCCTGGGGAACCAACAACCTAGTTGAATTCAACGCCACCAAAACTAAAGCCTGTATTTTCTCTAGAAATAGTCCAATAAATTAAGGGAAAAAGTTAACATTAATTACGCACTATTTTCATATTCCGCTTGGAAGTAGCTTTTGGTACCTCATTAAACATGAGACAAAGTTTGACTGAAAAACGCGTGCGATGGCGGAGAAAATGACCCCGAAGGACCAGAAAAATATGTTTTCAGCCAATATCTCCTAAAATATGGCAGTGAGAGATTTTCGGTTTCAATAATAATTGAAGTTCAGTTAATTTTCTATAAAAATGGTCCCTATCATTTTTCTCGAAAATTTGCCCGGTTTCGAGAAAAACGGCACGATGCGCACGTCGAATAATGAGCTTCTGTGTTGTATGCCGGAGAGCGCAGTCCGTGTATTTACACATCGGCGGGGGGACAAATTATTCAATAACTTTGTTAAAAATGCATATTTCCTCATGATTAAAAGTTCATGTGGAAGAGGAATTCTGCTACTATCATACCCTGTGAATTGAGTCACGCTTGACTCTTTTGGCCATATCGGAACATGGGTCAAACTTTCTGCTCCCGGTCAATTTTGACCTCGCCAGAAGGCACTAATTCACTCAAAATTTTCTTGATTATGGGTCCTCATAAGGTCCTTTGTCATCCCTGAAATTCGTATACCCTATTTTTTTTAATTTTCATTTAATCTTTGTTTATTGAATCCCAATTTTTTGCTGTTTTTGGAGCGCGGGGAAATTTTGTGAACAACCATCAATTAAAAATTTATACATGATCCGATTGGTTTCTATGATACATCATTTGAAAGCTGAGAAGGTCTACTTTTCGATTGTGCAATTACTTTTTTAGACGAAGTCGTCCATTTTTCAATAAAATTAGAAAAAGCGGGGTCAAGGAAAAAACGCACTTTTTTTTCGGTGGGTTTTTTCTCCGTGCTCTTTATTTTTAGCATTTTAACACCTTAACTAGTGTAACGGGGGAATTCCCACCTTTCCATTGATGTATATAAGTCATACCTTTGATATCCCGGGAAAAAAACAGTATATCTAAATGTACACGCTATAATTTATTACTTTCGTTCCTCCGTCGTTCGCCGCGTGTGTACTCTACGTGGCGCTCGGGTCGTCTGCTAAAAACCATGCGGCCACGCAGGGTATGATAGCAGCAGAATTCCTTTTTCACATAAACTTTGAATCATGAGAAAATATGCATTTTTAACAAAGTTATTGAAAAATTTGTCCCCCCGCCGATGTGTAAATACACGGACTGTGCTCTCCGGCATACAACACAAGCTCATTATTCGAGGTGCGCCTCGTGCCGTTTTTCTCGAAACCGGGCAAATTTTCCAGAAAAATGATAGAGATCATTTTTGTAGAAAATTAATTGAACTTCAATTTTCATCTGAACCAAAAATCTCTAACTGCCATATTTTAGGAGATATTGGCTGAAAACCTATTTTCCTCGTCTTTTGGGGCCATTTTCTCCGCCATCGCACGCGTTTTTCAGTCAAACTTCGTCTCATGTTTAATGAGGTACCAAAAGCTAATTCCGACCGGAAGATGAAAATAGTGCGTAATTAATGTTAACTTTGCCTTTTTCTCCTCCTCCATTTATTGGACTAAAAGGTGGAACTCAGTATGCCCGATATAACAATGTCTGGTACCACCATTTCCATCAAGACTACTATATCTATCCTTGGTATTACCATCAGCGATACTCTCTCATGGAAAAATCATGTCCAGTCCATCGCAAGACCTGCTTCACAAAAACTCGGATTATTGTTTCGTGCGATAATCTACTTTACACCCCAACAGCTTCTCATAATCTACAAAGCACAGATACGGCCATTTTTAAAATACCTACTGTTCTTATGTATGGGGTTTAGCATCCAAACGTACACTGATGCTCTTAGATTCCATCCGAGAGAAGAGTCATTCGCCTGGTGGGTGATGCCACACTCACTAGATTAGATTAGATTTGGAATGGGGCCTTCGGGCTATCTGCCTCCACACTGCGACCTTTTCAGATCTATTGTGTCTGCCCTCGAAATCGATTAGAGTTCTTCGGCTAGCCCCGCCTTCTCTATGAGACTCCATAGGCTAGCTTTCAGATCTCCTGTGTATCTCTGAGCTCCTGGTTTTTCCTCACCCAGCGTAAGGAACCTAAGTCTTGACAAGCCCTCACAGTGGCAAAGTATATGTACTGCTGTTTCTTCCTCTTCTTGACAGAACCTGCACAGCAGTTCTTCAGTCAGACCTATCGTACTCATGTGTTTGTTGAGCCTACAATGGCCTGTGAGAAGTCCCACTAGTATTCTAGTTGAACTTCGTTTCTGGCTCAGTAGATATTCTGTGAATGTTGGCGATGGTTTTTTAATAAACTCTTTAGCCTGTCTCATTCCTGGCGAGTTGATCCACCATTCTTGAGATTTGGTTTGCATCCATGATTTGATACTAGTCTTTTGTATAGCTTTCGCAATACCACAGAAGGGTTCTGGGCCATTAAGAGCTTTGTTTGCTCCTGCTCGGGCAAGTGGACACACTCACTAACTCTTTGACCCCATTAGAACACCGTAGAAAATTCGGCGACCTGTGACTTCCCCATAGATAGTTGCATGGAAAACGTTCCTCAAAAAAATTCTGCTATAATCTCATCACTAATGAAGCTCTTAAAATTCTTGGATTCATAATCAGAAGCTGAAGATCATTCACGGATCTTTTGTGAGATCAATGCTTGAATACGGATCTATGATTTGGAATCCACACTATCAGGTTCATAGTGATGAAGTAGTGAAAGTACAAAGAAAATTGTTGAAATTTCTGAAATACAAAATAACTGGTGTATATCCACCTAGGAGACAAAATTGATTTCAATAAAATATGTAGATACTGTGATATCCACCATAGTAGTTTGGGGCATGTTTCGACGTGCGTCACACAAGCTACAGGAGGTTTGTTATAAATAGTGATACCTGATCATATATACATATATTTTTCTTTGATGTTCTCAACATATCAGTAGTTGTAAGTGCAAAGTTATTAAATTTTTGGTATATAGTATATTTTGTTATGTAAGTATATATGTATATGGTTTGTATGAATATACCCAATCTATCAATTTCTTAGTCAAATTAGGCATTGTTTATTCTAGTATCATCGATTTATACATTTGTTTTATGTTTAAGTTTGCGTCCTTTAATTGGCGCGAGCTCTTGGACGAAGTACATTCAGATAAATGAATAAATAAAGTAGCAATACCAAATAGAAAAGCTGTACAGGCCCAGTCAGCTCATCCTTTCGTCTTCAACCTTGAAAAATGTCGAACAGCACTCTACCAAAACTCGTTCGTGAATAGAACGGCGAAGCTATGGAATCATTTGCCAATGGAAGTATTCCAAGAACTTATAACCATCGAGAGAGAGAGAGAGAGAGAGAGAAAGAGAGAGAGAGAGAAAATAATTTGCAGAAAGAGAAAATGACAAGTATACCTATATAATAATATGTGAAAAACTACAAGACTTAGGACATATGGACACTATAATAGGTTCCAAATGCCGTCTCTCGCCAGCTCCTAGAATGTTTCGATCAACCTGTAGGATACCCTGTATAATTGCTGTACTTCAAACGTCTATCAATATCGACAATTGTTTCATGATCTTCTCTTGATGTCAAGTTTGACATTTGTGAATGCTGATATGTTCCTCTTTTCAATCTCATTTGCCAAAAACCCAAAGAATGTTTCTTGAACTGATGGGCAAGAAGGAGATCAAATTCTTCTGGAACAGCATTAGCTTTATTGAAATATATCTATTCAATATATTCACTGATCATCCTATTTATTGGGTAGTCAAATATCTACCAACATATATTTGAGATTCAGATTGTTCTTATTAGGCTTGAATGAGGTCAAAGTGCAATAATTAAATAATAGCAATCGACTAAATGGATGATCAATTCGCTGTATATATAATATATAGCTCTACTCACTTATCTATAGTCCAGCGAATGATATCATTATCTCATAAACCTCACATTCCCTTAATTTTCCAGAGCATCAACACCGGATCAATTTCTGGCATTACGCGAAGAATAACTGAAAGAATTTTCAGGAAATTTTACATGTTACCGTACCGCTCCTTCAACCCACTGAAACTGAAATATTGATCCGAATCAGGATTGCCAACAGCCGCTGCCAAGCGCGGCAAATGACTGCGAGAATGCACGATAAATATGATACAGGGTGTTTCTGAAAGTACCGTACCATATACTAATACCCAGGAGCAAGAGGAGTTCACTCTAGAGTCACTGGATCCCAGACAGCACTGGATATTCCTAGAATATTCTCAAAATATGCTGAAAGGGAAGAGTATATTCCGAATATTCACCGAATATTCCTAGAATATATGTGTTCCTCTAGAATATCCAAATAATATTCAAATTTGAATATTCTAGTAATATTCCAAAATAATATACGCACGGAATATTCCAAAAGGAGTATTTTAAGATGAATATTTCGAGGATATTTGAAGATGAATATTCCAAGAATATTCCAGTTTGATTGTTCAGGGTATATTCCAGATATCAATATTCCAGAAATATTCTCAACTGAATACTCTGGTTTGTATATTCATGGAATATTCCATAATCATCATTCTCATGTGTTTCAAGGAAATTATCTATCATGATGAAAATATGGTAGAAATCCATCGTATCTCGAAGTGTAGCGGTTAGTTACCAGGAATCAGGAACACAAAGCCATTATCACAATTTTAATAGGTATCAAATTACTCAATCAGATCATCGTATATGATTCGAGCCCATATAGGCTCATCTTTATTATTATGTTATGTACGACCCAGACAGCACCAGATATTCCATGAATCTCCCTATAATATTCCTTTTGGAATATTGGAATATTCTAGGAATAATCTGAAATATCCTGGAATATCTGTGGAATATTCCCTAAATATGCGAATCAGAATTCCTCAGATATTCATAGAATATATCCAAAAGGATATTTTATGTTTATTCCAATGAAAATATTCTAAAATAAAAAAGTGGGGATCGAACTCGTGACCTCAAGACTATCAGAGCAACGCCTTGACCACTAGGCCAGTAATCGAATTGAATAATGTTGTACATATCAATTTCTTGTGAGAGCGTTGTTCGAAATCGGATCATAAACACTTCTTGTTTCAAAATCCCCTTACATCTAATTGATGTTTGATACTCACATCTCTGAAATAATGATTGGTATTTATGTGTTGGGAAACATAGGAATATTCATGGAATATTTCATGAATATACCCCAGAGAACATTCAGTTGGGAATATTTCCTAAATATGCAACAAAGAATATTCAGTTGGGAATATTTCTGGAAAATTCATACCTGAATATTCTCTGAACATATCCGACTATTCACTATGGAATAATCATTTTAGATATTAGGAATAATGAATGAATATTCGGAATATACTCCTTCTTCTTAGCATATTTAGAGAATATTCTAGGAATATCTAGTGCTGTCTGGGGATATCATATTCAACTCGATAACTGGCCTAGTGGTTGAGGCGCCGCTCTGAAAATCTGAAAGTCATGAGTTCGAGTCCATCTTGGGTCAGCTTTTTCTAATTATGAATATGTTCAGTGGAATAGATAGATAGATCGATAGATTTTTTATTTTCCAAAAGATACAGATTTGTAATATATTTGGTCCTACGGACTAGTAATTATTTCAGAGGCAGTTTTTTTGTCAAACTGCTAGACAACAAAATTCTAATCGATACATGTCAAGTTGACTTCGACAAAAAAAAAGGCTCTTGTGTAATTATAAGTGATAACTCATCATGTATTCACTCAATGTCATTGTCAATTGTGATAATTAGTTTTATTCAAATTACTTGGAACGTTTTCAGCAACAACCTTCGTCTGCCTGTTAAGAGTTATGAAGAAGCCACTTCCGATGTCATGTGGGGAAAAAACTTCTTCTAAAGGAGATTTTGTAAATATTTGTAAACAATATTTTGTGGACATCATTGCGAGGATATCTTGAGAATGTTCTCGAAATACATATTATGGATATTTTTGAAAGCTTCAATTAAATATACATCGAATATCAAGTATGCCAAATGTTCAAATTTGATATCCAATGGATATCAATTGAATAGACGTCTGTTGACAGGGTTATTGATCACACCTAGTACAACCTTGTATCTCTTCCTTTCGTTGTTGCTATGGCATCCTAAATGTAACAAAACAGTTTATTCTTGCAAGTAGTCAAGCAACATATCGAATGTATCAATATAGTGTCAAATTTGAATAAAGGATATTTCAGCGATGGAGTGGCCAAGCAAAAATATTCCTCATGGAGGAATTCTACATCCTGCCAAAGCTTCTTATAATCCGGAGACCAAGAAATTTCTGCAATGTATGTATACTTCTAGCTCACCATATTCTCATTATGATTCGGTTTAGAAATATGTATATCTTCCACTTCGCACTACATTATTTCACCTGTTCTATTCCTTCTTCCTTCCTCAACTCCAACAAAACATCATAGTTAAAATAAGAATCTCGAAATATTTTATGTGAGAGATGGAGTTATCATAAGAAATCATTAGGACACAACAAATGCAAAAATTGTAAGAGTTTACCCATCATTCAGAACACGAAAATTCCCCCCTTTCAATGATTTTTCTTCCGTTAATTTATTTTTGGTACTTACGTTTTTTTTTTCTGAAAAACACGAATTTGATAATGAAAATGTGAACAAACCACTATTTATCGAGATATTTCAAGAACAAGTTCGAAATTTCGTCTTCTTTTTCCCCTTGTGTTGGATGCATTTACAGCTACTTGCTTTTTATATTTCGTCATTGGACACCATATACAGGGTGATCCACAGTGGATGGCCTATTAGAAGTATCTGGAGAACGAAAAGACAGAACATTCTGAAAATTGGGATGCTTCGATAATTGAACATTTTCTATTCGTCTGAAATATTTTCATCAATACAGTGTTGCCACTTCTATCAGAAACAACTAGCAACTTCGTTATTTTAAATGGAGCACCCTGTATTTCATTGCATTTTTAGATCCTTCCTGAAGAGCTGATTTCATCAATGCATCACACTTGTGGTCTAGCAGGAATGATTACTGAGATATAGGGATTTTAGGATTTTTTGTGTCGAAACTATTCATTATCGATCAAAACGGCTCACATGTCCCTATCTTAACTTTTGATTCACTATCTACTGACATTTAATTGGAACAGATACAGGGTGATCAGAATTCTGAATCTTGAAGCACCCTGTATTTGTACCAACTAAATTCCAGTAGTTAGTGAATCAAAAGTTGAGATAGGGACATTTAAGTCGTTTCGATCGATAATGAATAGTTTCGACACAAAAAAAATACTGAAATTGAAAAATCTCGATTTTGAACACCCTATATCTCTGTAATCATTCCTGCTAGACCCCAAGTGTGATGCATTGATGAAATCAGCTCTTCAGGAAGAATCTAATAATGCAATAGAATACAGGGTGCTCTATTCAAAATAGCGAAGTTGCTAGTTGTTTCTGATAGAAGTGGCAACACTGTATCGATGAAAATATTTTAGTGGGATAGAGAATGTTCAATTATCAAAGCATCTGAATTTTCAGAATGTTCTGTCATTTCGTTCTCCAGATACTTCTAATAGGCCATCCACCGTGGACCACCCTTTATACTCATGACGTACGTAAATCTCACATTTTTATATAGAAAATTCAACAGGAAATATGATTTTCATGGCGAGTTTTCCATATTTAGTGAACAAGCATACCAGATGACGGCCATTTAATCAATAGATAGTCAATCCAGATGTCAAATTTCAACAGATTGCTTTCGAATGACATCACACACGCTATCATTCGAAATGATTTTCTTTCTTTCACTAAATATGGATAAATCACAAGAAATAGTTATCCATTATACAAGACAAAAAACCGTGAGCTAAAATCTAATATTTTTCCCGTGTATGATACTATTTTTTTTTCTGTGGCAGAAGAAAGGACGAATCAATATTGAGAAGATATTACATTATTTTGAAATCTGAAAATTATCGACGTGAAATTTTAAGTTTTCAACTGTAGGGACACCTGCGTTGTAGGCATCTTCATCATTCTTTTGAAGTAATCAAATATCTGATGTCACTTCTGTAAGTCTAATTCTGTGATTTGATTTCAAAAAATTGCGAATTTAGTGGTTGTTTAGTAATATACCTTACCGCGAAGTCGAATGGAAGATAAAAGGACTTGCAGTTCTTTCTCGGAGACGGTATTATTGACTCATTTTTCGGAACAATAGCACAACAAAAGCCATCAACTGTGTATATCTATGTGATATATATCCAGGAAAAAAGTACACACTTTGATGATGATTTATGAAAAGTGGCATTCTATAACCTGCCAACAGAGATGAAATGCCAAACTTTTTTCCCGTCACAGAAAAAATTATATTTCTAGTTTATTTTTTTTATGTTCTGATGGTTTCCACGAAAAGGGATATCCTGTAATGTTCAGAGAACTTCGAGAGAACGAAAAGAAATAAGGTGGGATTTGGAGTTCTTCTTGAATTTCTGGAGGTTTCATGCCTCAGGAAACACCTCCCTTTGCAATGTGTTCCACAATAGTTCCTCCATTGGCAGTCCTCGCGCGATTAACCAGTCGAGTTGAGGTTTCGCACCCCTTCGTGGTCACTTTGGAGACCTGCAGAACATCTCTTTCCAAAGACTCGTTCATCCAACGAGCAGTGAGGCTCTGGAACACATTGCCAAGGAAGGTGTTTCCTGAGGCGTATAACCTCCAGGAATTTGAGAAGAACAACAATTCCCACCTTATTTCCCTTGGTTCTCACGATGTTCTATGAACATTACAGGATATCCCTTTTCGTGGAAACCAGACCTTAAAAAAAAGCCTTGCTGTTCGTTGGATGAACGAGTCTTTGGAAAGAGATGTTCTGCAGGTCTTCAAATTGTTCTAAATGCGATCCAGAAGACAGGCGAAATAGAAGGTGAAATTTGTAACTTTATAGTGAAATATCTTAATGAATAATGGTTTGTTTACATTTTGATTAATTAATTCGTGTTTTTCAGACAAAAATACGTAAGTACAAAAAAAATTTCGGAAAAAAAAAACATCGCATGATAAATGCAGTTTGACCTGATTTTTAGCAGGTGCATGATATTTGCAAAACCCTCCTTTCAAGTGGATCTTTCACATCGAATTTCAATGTATATTTTCTGCTTATATCCCGAAGATATACCTACCTACCTATGTGTCTACAGAAGTTATACTTACTCGTGCAGAGCTGTACTAATTCTTCTAGATAAAACGCACAGCAGTTTTGGTGCTAAGTGCTTATATTTCATTCGGACGATTGTTCTGAATTGTATAAAAGTTTCTTGCACAACACATATTCAATACACTTCGAAATGATAGCAAAATCTTCCCACATCACTTGAAATTCACTGTCGATGGAACAGAAGGTAAGGGAGGTTTGAACAAAAGTATATAAACTTTCTATAGTTTCATTTTCCCAATCCTAATATCAGATAGGGAAGTCGCATACGGAGCCAATTCCAAGTTGAATTCAAAATAAGTGGTTTTTTAGTTCTTGCAAATCAAATGATAAATCATCTCTCAATTCTCTGAGTGAATTCTCAATCATCTACAATCTATCTTTCGTTCATTTTTCCTCAAAAATGGAAGGTCTGATAATTTTGAGACTTTTGTAGTGTCATGTTTGAGAGCTCATTATAGTTATTAACCTAACAAGTGTGGAAAGTAGTACTTTTCCGCACGCGACGGCAGTTGCACGAACGACTTTGAGCGTATCACAGATACTAAACTTTTTATGCTCTGGATGAAATGAAAATTATTCCATACTTATTCAGTAGCGGCTGAACCTGAAGGTGGTGAAGGAAAAAATCATCCCCCCTGTTTTATATGTGCATTCGATTCATAATTTTTGTGTACAAAATGTGAAAACAAATAGATTGCTGCGTATTATAGTTCAGTTGTAGGTATTGTTTCAATGCGTTACCTACAACGTTTTCGAATTGAACCGGATTAACGGTATGACAAATCTGATTTAATAAAAAATAATGAGAACACCCAAATCAACAGAATGTAAAATCGCAGATCCGTAATCCATCAGAATATATAATTATTTTCAATTAAACCAGTAACTTAACAGAACAATATTTTATAGGAATCGTACTTATCTTCACTTTAGATGCACAAAACCGTAATCCCTCAAACCGTATTTTGTATACTGTACATGAGATGTGTATTTTTTTATAAAATCAATATCGCTGATCCGCAAATATACAGAATCGAAAACTCACAAACCAACATAGCGAAATGATATTTCGTCAGAACCATAACAACACTGACCGTAATTCGTCAGATTCGTGAAATGACAGACCGCACATAAGCAGACCGTACTTTGTCAGAATTGAAATACAACAAACCGTCCATCGACAGCATAGTGAAATTTCAGATCCGTACATTGACAGAATAAAAAATAATAACTGGACAAACACAATAGAACTTTGATTCACCTTCACCACCCACAAATTCAGCTGCCACTGAATCACTTTATGAATTAAGTTATATTTCACGTTCCAGTGAACAATATTCAGACTCGTATTTTCAACACAATAAATCTCTGAAACGACGCATTACAAAGTTACAAAGTATATGTATACACTTTTTTCTACAAACGTCAAAACATGACAAGGTTCGCGCATTGATAACAAATTGCGGAGTGACACTTTTTTTCAGTTTCCTACGTTGCCATGATACCTTGCACAAAACAATGCGCAAAGTAAAACAGTGCGCGAAATACCTACTTCGCGCATTGTTGTGTAAAATATATGAGATTTATATTTCTACTTCATGGAACTTAATCAGGCAAACATTCACGAAATCATTCATTTCTGAATTTTTAACTATAACTCTGTTTTATCTCTTGGAGCACACGAAAGGAAATTCCTATTATGTTCGTGAAACATCGTGTGTACCTAGGGAGGATAGGGGGAGGCCTTTTGAACCAGTTCACTACTAGTTTTTATATCAAGCTGAGCATATTTCCACTTCAGAACTATATTTTTTACGTTTGTAGAAAAAATGTTGTTTGCAACTCGAGCGCGAAATACTTTGGTCATCTCGACTATTTTTTCAAAAAATCAGATCTCGATCACCAAAGTAGCATTTCGCGCTCTAGATACAAAAATAACTATTTTATTATAACAACGAGTACAACAAACTGTTGATTTTGTTGCATTACAAACCGGAAAACTCCGTATAAGGACATTCTTCATTCCTCAAAGTGCGAAAATAAATAAATTCATTTATGTATTCATTCCACTACTACAGTACTAATGGACGAAAGTAAACTCACAATGATGCAGAGAAACAAAATCAACTATCATTTGCGAAATGGAGAGCCTTTACCAGGGACAATCAGACACCACAACCAAAATACCCACGTGCCTGAAATCACTATAAGACCTACCAGTTCGAAGAGGAGGAGTAGAGAAAGTATCATCAATTCTGGAGCTTACCAGGTAGAAACAAATGGCTAATGACAGGTATATATTTCCGCTACTTTTTTTTTTGGAGTGGAAATAAATGGATGATTTTTTCCCCTGGCATGGAACATTTTTCCTAAATAAAATGGTCCCTGGGTAATAACGTAACATAAAAATAAAGTTGGTGAAAGGACTCCAAGGAATATTGAAGACATAATAATTATCTTCTACTTAGTCTATTTATATTTCTCTAAATAGAATTCGTAGAGGATCTATTATAGGATATCGAAGTGCACAAAGGCGATTGTAGATTGTAGATGGGTCGTATAGGCTGGCAGACCTCTCGATCACTGCGACCTAGAAGATCTATTGTGATTACCCTCATCTAGTTTTCGTCCACTAACCCTAGACTTCTGAAGAAGCCTACAATTTTCCTGACGGTTGAATTTTCCACGTCAGCAGGGGTGAGTTAGACCTGTTCTAGGTGGTTCAGCCTTTGATGGACTAATACTTCACATGAGCAAAGTATGTGTTCCGCGGTTTCGGTCGCATTGTTACAAAAGCGGCAAGTGTCAGTCTCCGCCAGGCAGCACATAGACGATATTATACACAGTTCACTATGAGTATCTAAGTTTTGGCTTGCTTCGAAAATGAATTCAATTCGAAATATATCTACCTCCGATTACTTGTTTGCATAGTTGCGGAAATGAACGTAGCAGACGTGAGTTAAACGTTGATATATACAATATACAATATAGCAAATATAACAAATGAAAATTATCATAAACATCAGTTATGAGCATAAATTCAATTTTAAAAAGACTAAATACACTCAAAAATTGTGTTAGGAATTATTGAATATTATTTTGATATCTCTTTTTATTGCTACCACAGACTTATCAAATAAATTCGAGCTACTGCAGTACATGTTAAATTCCTTCTGACACCTGATAATAGGAGAATTATTTCCTAAATTAGTTCTACGATATGGCAAGTTGAAAAAGTCAAAATTACGAAGAGGTCTTGATGGAACATTGAAATTCAGTTTCGATAACAGTTCAGGAGAATAAATCACATTGATAACAATTTCAGATATGAAGACAAGATCGCTAACAATTCTTCTATCTACCAACCTTAAAATGTTGAATTTGTTCCTTACAATGGTGTAGTTGATGTTTTCAATAGGAGTGTTATTTTTATATGCTAAATATCTCAAGAATCTATTCTGAATTCTTTCGAGCCTATTAATATTCACCGCATATACAACGGGTTCCATACAATCGATGCAAAGCTAAGTTTACTGTGGATAAATGCGTAATATAAGGATATGATTGTTTTAGGATTCTTGAAGCTTTTACTATTCCTTATAATAAAACCGAGCATTTTGCTTGCATCGTTTGCGATTTTATCTACATGAGAATTAAATGTTAGTTTTTCGTCTACTATAACTCCCAGATCTATAATTTCATTAACCTTTGTGATGTCATTTTGTTTGAGTTTGTATACATGATTATATTTGGTCTTATTATTAGAAAATGAGATCGAAAAGCATTTTTTTCAAATTCAGAAATAGACTATTTTGATCACAGTATTGTGTAAACAGATTCAGGTCACTCTGGACTGCAGCGCAGTCATTTGGGTTCTTTAGCTCAGCAAATATCTTCAAATCATCAGCATATAGCAATATTTGAGAGTGCTCAAAGCATTTAATGATGTCATTAATATAAATTATAAATAGTAATGAACCCCAATGACTTCCCTGAGTTACACCAGAAGTACTCTGGTATGGCCGAGACCTGAACCCATCCACCGTCACTATCTGATTCTGTGATCGACCCGTTATGTAGGACCATATCCATTTTGAAATATCATCAACTAAACCGTTATCAGCAAGTTTGTCCATTAGAATGCCATGATCAATTTTGTCGAAGGCTTTGCTGAAATCGGTGTAGACTGAATCAACCTGTGTACCTGAGTGATATATTACTTTTTCGAGAAGCTTGGCAAAAATTGACAGTTTGCTAATGGGTCTATAGTTTTCAATATTGCATTTGTCTCCACTCTTATGAATGGGAACTACATGTGTTGTTTTCCAAATTTCGGGGATCGTAGTTGAGGTAGACGAGTTGAAAAGGATAGTTAGTGGTTTACATAGAGTATTCACACACTTTTTTACAAAAATTGGTGGTATTTTGTCTGGTCCTGGACATTTATTGATGTCGAGAGAAATAATCAAGTCTTTTATTTGAGTTTCAGTGACCAATAGTTCATTCTTATTCCTGGAAAAATGCTTTGTCATATTTTTGGACTTCACGTATACACTCTCAAAAAAGTTGGCGAAAAGATTACATATATCAACACCATTATCGGCGCTCTTGTCATTATGCACAACATTATTGGGAATAGCTGACTGACTCTTTTTTTTGTTGGAAATATATTTCCAAAAACTCTTTTTTGTTTCCGGGATTTCTGACTCGATACTTTTTATGTAGTCACTGTAGTCCCGATGTATCAGTTCTTTGGACCTCTTTCTGAATAATTTAAATAAATTGTAGTAGTTAATGTCATTATATATTTTATATTTTGTGTGATATGATTGTTTTTGTTTGATCGTTCTAATGGTTTCATTTTCGAAATAACTGGGAAATGTATTGTTAACTTTTATTTCAGGAACCTCACTATGTATTATCGTATTTATCTTTATGTGAAAAACAGCAACTGCATCATTGATATCTAGATTATTGATTACTTCTTCCCATGAAATGTTTCCTAATTTATTGGTATTTATATTATCGTAATTTGCCTTCTTGAAATTTAGTATCGATTTGGTAGATTTGGTCAATGGTTTCAAGTTCTCATTTTTGAATATGATTTCCAAACATAGATGATGAATATTTTCTGTTACAAATGGATCTATTGAGTGTTGGATGCTATTAATGATACTTTTGTTCGACAATACAAGATCCAATAGTCTGTGATTGTGATTATGACAAGAACACCATAGTCATTCCGCGCTTTTTCTTGAAAATTGTTCGAGTTTGACAATAAATTTCATGAACGTCAAAATTGAAATATAATTTCATTAACTAACTATCAAGGAAGAAGCATAATTGGAAATGTCCTGCTGTGAAATGAATTGTGAGAATTCTGAAGAAAATGGATTTCATTAGAAATATCCCTTGCTGCAGTTTAGATGCTGGCTGTGTTCAACTAAAAGAGGCCACATTTCAAAATCAAAATGGAATTTCATAAAATGGCGATTTTTCCATAGCAACGCAATTTATCAAAAAAATTTCAAAGACGTCTCGAGGTATCGGTCCAATCATTCACCCAAAATCTAAATAAGAATTCTAGGGTCCCTCACATTTTCCAAATTATTGGTCAAAAATTTGAAATTTTTCCGGCTCTTCATTCACACTCTGTACAAAGAGAACTAGTCGCAAAAATAAAAACCCGACGCCAATTACGCATAGCCCAAGGATGGCGCTTTCTACCTTTGGTTGAAAATCCAACATCGGCCAAAAAATGTTCGAGTTATAGTTTATCAAAATTAGACAATTTTTTGGCTGTCCCACTTCATCTGGTAGGTAGTTCATTTTGTAGTGGTACCTAATATTCTATATACAGAGTGGTTCAACGAAAAGTATGCACCTAGCTTTTCTCCTTTGTCTAGAATTGAAAGCAAAAATGCTCGGACACGTGGAGTTTGCTTTTGAGGGGGACACATTTTAGACATATTTTTCAACCTGTGCCTCTAACGCCCCAGCGAGGAGGTGTCAGAACCCTAAATAAACTTCAAATGGAAAGTGGGGTCGACTGATATATCATTTGAACGAGCACAAAATCATCTTTCAAATCCCAACCAGATGACGTTCCAGTGACGTATTTTTTACGTCACCCCAGGTAGCACATGACGCCTATATGACGTCTAATTGACGGCATCACATTCGGCCAAAAGACGTCTTTATTTCAACAAATGCGACGTCCAAATGACGTAAGTAAGACACATCCAAATGACGTCATATTTGAAAGTCTTTTAGACGTCAGTATGTGTTTTCAAATTGGACCTTAAACTGACACTACTGACCAATTTCCGACGTCAATAAGACGTCTGTTTTTTTTATAAAATTTTGAGGTTAATGGTTATAATCTGGTGAGGAAGGTAATCATTTGTGCTGTAAAATGAATTTGCTACGAATGAAGATTTAATTAACAAGATAGTAATGTAAGGTATTACATAAATAGTTGAAAATTTCAGCGTCGATGGCTCCCCTTCACAGAGAGCTCTTTTGTATGTTTTGCTGTCTTTAAATGGCGGCCAAAACACTTCCTTTTTCAACGGCGTCAGCCAAGTTTCGTAAACAACAGCTACACTCTGTTGCTTCCACTGTCATTGAATTGTATTACACAATACATCCTGAATACTTTCACGTGAAAAACAGACTGTAGAAATACCACTCAAACACTCAACATTTTATCATTCTTAACAAATTCAATGGCACAGACGCCGTTCACAAACAACACCCATTCGAACATGGACGATGGACAATGAACATGAACGGGAACGCACGATGCAAGCTTGACGCTGAACCACCCCAGATAACACACATACATCCATTGGATGTCCATTTTGAATCCATTAGGTAGCCGGATGTCCATGGATGTCCAATGGACATCCATTGTGTATATGTACAATGGACATAGAGATTTGTACATACAATGGACATCCATTTTGTAGTTGTACAATGGACAACGAAATTTTTACAGCCAATGGATATCCATCATACTTATCCAATGGAAATCGTTTCGCAAAGTATGTATGTGTCATTTATGACTCTTCTATTTCAATTGAAATATTTTTATCAATAATATATAATATATTATATATGAACATTAATCACGGACAACTTCGCACTCGGTACTATTTTTCAAGATTTTATACGTCTCATCATTTTTGTAGGTTACGTACCTATATATAGAGGTAGGTACTTATTTTGAAGTTGATTTTCATCCAATTTCAATTTTAAACCATTTAGGCCGTGCAAATAAGATCGATATGGGCAAATATTATACGGCGGGTTTCTTTCGAAAAAGATGAATCACCCTGTAACACTTTTGATAAGGGCCGTGTAAAAGCTTTATTGCGGCACTAAACTTCAGCAAATTGCATTTTCTCTCGATGTGAAATACCGTAAATACGAAATACTTGCCATAATATTTATAACAGCTCAGTGGTCCAGAGGTTAGCGATGTGATCCACGAGAGCGGGGTCCGGAGTTCGATCCCCTCAAAGGACAACTTTTTTTTAGTTTCTACGTTCTGGCTGGACAAAATTTGGATATCCAATGGAAATCCAATGTATTCCTGATGAGTATCCAATAAACTTATCATTGGAATGGACATAAGTTGGATTTTTGGTAGACGTCCATTAGAGTTCTGATGTGTATACAATGGTATTTCAAATGTAATGGACATACGATGGATCTTCATTGGGAATCCATTGGATGTCTGATGAGTATCCAATAGACTTCCAATGGAAAGGACAAATATTGGATGTCCAATGGAAATCCATCAGATGTCTAATGGAAAGCCAATGGACTTCCAATGTATGTCCAAACTGTTGGACATGTATTATCCAATGGATGTCCATTGGACAAATACTGGACAATGCCGTCCATCCAATGGATGTCCAGGGTATCCATAGCTGGACATCCATTGGTTGTCCAATGGATTCACTTGTGTTGTCTGGGACAGAACGGACCGCTGAACGGCACTAACGCCACTAACGGCAGTCGCAAGATGGTCGCGAGTCGCATACACAATCTTTTCGCGTAATTACTTGATCGCCATTGGCCATCTGGTCGGTAAGTGAGAATTGTCTTTGGCGCTAAATTTACACATTGAGAATCAAGTGAAGCCAATGGAATAAAGTACATTTTCATCAAACATTTATACAGTTATTTGGATAAATTAATCAATTTATTTTATAACTTCGTTTTCCTATACATACATGATAATAATAATAATAAAAATAATAATAATAATAGTAATAATAATAATGATAATGATAATGATAATAATACCCAAAAAAATATGAAGACCATAGATTGACGTCTATACGACGTCAAACAGTGGCTGTCCATAAGACGTCACATTAATGACGTCCGCATGACGTCATAATTTGGTCAAAAGACGTATGAGACCAAAAAGACCTTAGATAGCGGTCCTATAGACGTCACATTCGTCAGTCTGGCTACCTGGGACTTGAATGACCAAGGTGACGTCGGTAGTTGACGTCGCATTGACGTGACAATGACGTGAATATGTCACAGGCCAATGACGTCATATTACTCACGTCGTATTGACGTCATTCACTCACCAAACTGTGACGTCCGAATGACGTCATAATGACGTCAAAATGACGATTGAATTTGGCGATGATACGTAAAAGAGATTCCTTTAACATGGTGTGATAAACACCACTAGCCTCTGACGACATTATATAATATTGATTATTGCATTGTTGAGTTTGCTTGGTGGGTCCCTCCTGTGTCATGTTCATTCAATCGCCTATTCAGCAGCGCCATCCTTCAGTAAGCATCTCCATCAAAATGCAATCACTTAACTCGTAATAGTATCAAAAATTATGTAGTTTGTGTCGGCGAGATGTAAGCAAACAAAGAATAGTTTGATAGCAATGGAAAGGATGTTGGCACTTTGTTAAATAATGTATATTGATGCATCCTTTGTCACCCAACAAAAATCTGAATAGCAAATTATTGAAGAATTTACTATATGACTAAGCTCACTGAATTGGTACTTCACACCGACGTGATTTTTAGACGTCATAGATACATCGCACTGCAACGTCAAAAGAGTAACGGTTTCAATATAGGTATACCTGAACAATCATGTTCATATATACATAGCTTTTTGGTTTCCGAGATATACAGAGTGTGTCAAAGTTTTTTAGAAAAAAGTGTTCCTACTCCTTTTCGGGTTTATCAATGATAATTAGAATGAATTTTGCATGTTGATTCGCTTTCATCAGTTATACTTTTGTTTCACATGATAATATATAATTATTCATGGTTTAGAGAAGGTCTTGGAAAAATAGACGTCGACAGGACGTCCCTGCAACGTCATGAAACTGACGTCTTCTTTCACCCATTTAAGTGACGTACACTCGACGTCGAAACGATGACGTGATTATCACGTCATAGAAAGTACGTCATAGTGACGTCATAAATTGGTGTGTGACGTCGAAAATCGCCAATTAGGGACGTCACAGTGAGCCTGGGATGATACCCTATTTGTTGAAATTTACTCAAACAGGTAATGCGAAAACGGCTTTGAAGACTGTGGAGCGATGACTTTGGGTTTTCATCTATGTCTTATTCTTTCATTCACTCAAACCATTGTAATATACAAAATAGAAAAGGACAGAAGTTCAGCTGTGTCCAAACTCTTATCTAACTATAATACCATCCAGTGACTCTAATACTTCCTAGGTAGAAAAGTTCCTGTCGAATGTTCCTGTCATGGACAGAGAGAAGGAAAAGGAAAAGTTACAGAACCGGATGGCTTTCAACAAGGATGTGAAGGTTTCTGAGGCTAGATTTTTCCGAAAGCAAGCCAGCAAGGAAGATAGCGAAGAAGTTAATCGATTTGACGAACGTACGTGAATAATTTTCTACAGATGCCGTTTCCAGCACATCAGATTAATTTTAAAATTTGATGAAGAGAATGGTATACAACTGACGTAATATTTTTCAAAACTGACTTATGTCTCATCATAATTACCTATCGATAGGTATATTCTCAAGATACCCTCAATAATCTCAATAAGTTCTATTCTGAAATGATGAGACCTTGTCAGTTACCAATCAGACTGGATTTTGCCACCATGAAAGCTCATACAAGAGGGGTTATAAAAAACAATCGATACTTCCAATTTCAAGATCTTGTATCTCAGAAATGGAGCAAAGTGAGGACACATATCTTAAAAGTCTCTTTTGACTTCAAATTTATTTTTTAATTTTTAGTTATCGCTTGCTAAGTTCCTCAATCTCATCATTTCATTCGACGCATCATTGTTACAAGGTCGTTTGTCGGCTAATTTCGAACAGTCCAGCTCTTCAATAAGGAGGCCTTCTAATGATTTAACACATCATATTTCGAATTTCTCTCAACGAGCCCTTTCATTTGTTACCCATATTGTGGAAGTGCATTAAAGATAACTATTTCGCCATCTTGGATGGTCCGCTATATTTATTGGATTCGGAATGACGTCACATCATTTTTTGAGTTACTCCCAACGAGTCGCTTCTTTGATACCCATATTGTAAAAGTAGATTGAAAATAACTATTTCGGCGCCATCTTATTGGATGCTCTGCCATATTGGATATAGAATGACGTCACATCATTTTCCGAGTTGCTCTCAACGAGTCATCTCATTTGATACCCATATTGTAGAAGAGCATTAAAAATAACTATTCTGCCATCTTGGATGGTCCGCCATATTGGATTTAGAATCTTCACATACCTTATCGTGCATTGTCATTCAAACTAAGCGTGTATACATAATTCCAGCTAATTTGGTTGAGGATATCTACTTCAAAATTGAGTTCAAAGATTCCACTCGAACTAACATACATCCATATACATTGCAAGTTGAATAAAAGCTCATAAAATGAAATAATGGAATGAATATGAGCTAGATCCATTTTTTCGACAAAACTTGAGAATTATATATTGTTCTGAAATAAGTAAATTGATATTCTTAGTTTGATATTCGCGGGAATCAATGTTACCAGGTGGCGCTCGGTTTTCATCGTTCCATGTCAAAGCCACGTCAAAACTGAGGGAAAACAAACTCAATCCTCACTCAATCCAATTAGTGCCATCAGCTTGTGTACTGTGTACCTACTGATAAGAGTGATAACACCTATAGCCATTCTATGGATGAAGGAGTTTTGATAAAGTGCTGTAATATCACCACTTTACTTTGAAATACGATGATGGACTTCTACCACAGATTTCAATGACTCACATCTATGAAATAGTGATTGGTTAAGTTCCATACTTTACAATTTCATTGAAATACATGGGAATATTATTGAAATATTCCATGAATATACAGGAACAGAATATTCAGTTGGAAATATTCCTGGAATATCCATACTTGAATATTCAATGCACTATCCAACTGGAATATTCTAAGAATATTCACTTCAGAATATTCCTTCTGGAATATTCCTCGTATATTCATTTTGGAATATTACTAGAATATTCACATTTGAATATTCCTTGAATGTTCCAGAGGCACGTATATATTCTAAGAATATTCGAAGGGTATTCGGAATATATCCTTCTCTTTTAGCATATTTAGAGAATATTCTAAGAATATCCAGTGCTGTCTGGGCTTATGTCATTGACAAGTTTTTGACAAATACAGCTTCAGCAAGATGTATGCTATGTAGTCTAGGCACTTTATCCATAGACAACAGTTTGTTCTTCCCCAGTTTGAAGTTCGTAATTTGTAACCCAGATATCGCCCACTTCGTGAATCTCGCGAATAAAAATAGTGTTGAACTTAAAGAGTTATCAAACATTTAGAAATAATTTGATTTCTTAGATCTTTGCTTGATAGAAAATAATAAAGGTTGAAATACAATAAGAATTTCATATTTTTATAACTTAGTTCATACGAAGTGCCGGAATTATGTAGTACAACACACTTATTGCGCACGAGTCACTTCACATATTTGTTACCAATGGGCGAACCGTGTTATTTTTTGACGTTTGCAGAAAAAATAGATGATGTTATTTTCAGTTGTACGAGAAATAAAGGAGAGAGAGGATTGGCTGAGAGAGATGGAAGAAATGGGTCGCGGAAATCAGTACAAGCAAATCATTGAACAACAAATCCAGGAGAAAGTGCGAGAAATGAATATGTTATCATGTGAAACAGGATATCACTCAATGAATAAACGATGAAATATCACGTCCAGAATTGTTTCACTCACCTCTCACCAAGTTCTTCGAATCTGAAGATTGAATTCACTTTGGAGCCTATAGTCCGGTCTAGCACATTAGGTACGAGTATCAGGATTTTGAGAAGAAATTACGGAAATGACATCGGACTTCATCGAAACGCACAATGGGATTCGAAAGCTAAAAAAGTGTCATACCAGCTTTTTTTATTCAATTCAATTCATTTATTTTTTTTTGGGCATACATATAAGTATAGAAATCGTCACAATTTCACATACACAACTACCTAAACACACCTAACAAAAAAATAAAACAGATTTAAATATACAGAGATAATGAAGGAGAGCAAATAAAAACCTATCTATGAGTCGAACAATTCATCAAGGTTGTAGTAACATTTATCCAATAAATATATTTTCAGCGATCGAGAAAATTCATTAAAGTTTGTTTTCAGAGTGTTATACTCTTCGGTAATTTATAAAAAATTACGAGGCCCACCACATCTTGAACATCATAATGAATTGCGCCACATCTCACAAAATATAATTTCAAATATGATAGATTTTAGTATAAATTAAACTCGAAATTATGGAAATGATTGTTTTTTAATGAAACTTTGAAAAATAAAATATGGAAGCAAGTTCGCAATATGAATGTCAACGACTGACTGTTGGAATTGTGCTTGACTGTTCGAACTATTGTGCTTTTTGCCCGGTCATCAGATTTGCGTTGGACCCAGTCTTCGAGGAGGTGATGAAATCATCAGTGGCGGGTTCTTGAAAGCTAACACGGCCTTCCTGACTTGAGGGCGTCCTCGCACTAACTCGAATGAAACGGCTCAACTGTGGAAAGAAAAACGAATAATTAAATCACACCATTACAATAGAAAAGATTATCTGACAGCTTTGTACTAAAAGTACTTCTGTCAAATTATCTCTCTTATTTTTAGCTCCGTACTAAAAGTACCCAGACAGCACTGGATATTCCTAGAATATTCTCTAAATATGCTAAAAAGGAGGAGTATATTCCGAATATTCATCGATTATTCCTAGAATATATACATGCCTCTGGAACATCTAGAAGGAATATTCCAAAGTGATGTTCAGGGAATATTCAGGTATGAATTTTCCAGGAATATTCCCAAATGAATATTCTCTCTTGTATATTCATGAAATATTCCCAACTGAATGTTCTGTGGGGTATATTCATGAAATATTCTCAACTGAATATTCTGTGCGGTATATTCATGAAATATTCTCAACTGAATATTCTGTGGTGTATATTCATGAAATATTCCATGAATATTCCTATGTTTCTCAACACATGAATACCCATCATTATTTCAGAGTTGTGAGTATCGAACATCAAAATTAGATGTAAGGGGATTTTGAAACAAAAAGTGTTTATGATCCGATTTCGAACAACGCTCTCACAAGAAATTGATGTGTACAACATTATTCAATTCGATTACTGGCCTAGTGGTCAAGGCGTTGGTCTGATAGTCTTGAGGTCACGAGTTCGATCCCTACTAGGGTCACTTTTTTTATTTCAGTATATGTTTATTGGAATATTCCAGGAATATTCAACATGGAATATTCTTTTGGATATATTCTATGAATATCTGAGGAATTCCCATTCGCATATTTAGAGAATATTCCACAGATATTCCAGAATATTCCAGATTATTTCTAGAATATTACAATATTCCAAAAGGAATATGATAGGGAGATTCATGGAATATCTGGTGCTGTCTGGGTACTAACTATCACTAACGACCAGCTCCGTACCGAAAGTACTAACTGTGGTATGTTCTTAGCTACCAGCTCCGTACTGAAAGTACTAACTGTTGTATGTTCTTAGCTACCAGCTCCGTACTCAAAGTACTAACTGTTGCTTTATATCTCCATAGCTACCAGCTCCGTACCAAAAGTACTAACTGTTGCTGTAATAATCAGTAACTACCGGTTCCGTACTGAAAGTACTAGCCGTTGTTCCAATTATCTTCACTTTTTCATGTACCAACAATAACAACAACGTATTTACAAAAAAAAAAAAAAAGAATGCAAGCGATTACCTTATAGAGGCCAAGCACGCAACTGCTCATGTGCAGCTACAGTCGTCCACCGACGTCCATTCAAACGTCTTAAGGCATACCTTTCGTTCGGTAGACAATGAGTCACCTCAAAAGGTCCTTGAAATTTAGGCTTCAATTTCCCACCTGAAGCGAACTGGCTGTCTTGTACTGCAACCTGATCGCCTATTGTGTACGGCACTGCGGCTATCCTTTTCTTATTAAAGTTTGCCTCGGTCTTTTCTCGAACGGTTTCCAGTCGTCTAATCACTCGCTCTCGAAGTTCATCATAATCGACGACCTTGTGCTGCATCGGCAATTCGGCTAACAGCTGGCTGGAAGCTGCTAACCGGCAAGTTGACCCAAACATCAGTTCATATGGTGATACTTTCGTTGATTTATTGACCGTCACATTAAAATCATTTTCAATGGAGGGAAGAACTTGGGTCCACTTCTTTTCATCAATGTCATTTAAAATAGCACGCATGGAATTAAACAGTGACCTCATGACTCGTTCCACCTGACCATTTCCTCTAGGAACTCCGGTGGCAATCAGATGTAATTTAATGTTTTTATCACTTATAAACTGTTTAAATTTTGTAGACTGAAAAGATGTCCCTCGATCGGCTATTATACAAGCTGGCGTACCTAAACTGGTAAACACAGTGTCTAACGCCTTGATGCTGCAGTCAGCGGTTTTCTGTCGAATGGGACAAAATCGCACATATTTAGTGAATGCATCGATGATGACTAAAATGTAGGTGCATTTATTTGATTTTACAAGCGGACCAGCGTGGTCTATATGCCAAGTTTGCATTTTTGCGTTAGGTTTCGTGTCTTGTTGATACAGTCCTTTCTTTTTGCCGGTATGGGATTTTCCCAGAATGCAGGAACGACAGTTTTCTACGTATTTCCGGACAGTTTTTCCCATACGTGGCCAGATTAATTCCTCTCGAAGTTTTGCTAACATTTTATCAGAGCCAATATGGGATGATTTGTCATGATAAAGTTGCAGGACTTGCATTCGGGCTGATACCGGTACAAAACAACGACTTTGTCCATCATGTGTACTTTTCCAGTAAACGGTGTCATTTTCAACAGAATAATCTGGCTCAACTCGTGTCCTATTTAGTATACTTTGACAAAATGTATCTTCTTGTTAATATTCGCGAATTGTCTTTTCAGTCCTGGTCGGGAGCAAGGAACCAACACGTGAAATTAATACCTTTGAGGGTGGAAAGTTTCGACTAGGTAAGATAGTCTACATGACCCATTTTAGTTCCAGGCCGGTATTCAATGTCAAAATTAAAGTCCTGAAGCTTTATCCACCACCTGGCTACACGGGGATGGAGTTCTTTTTTTAAGAGCCGTCGCGCGCACGGAGTTACAATCTGTAAATATGGTAAAGTGGATGCCGTATAAATACACACGAAAATAGTTCGTAGCTTCAACAATAGCTAATGTTTCAAGATCATAAGAGTGGTAGTTCGATTCACATTGGGTCGTGCGTCGACTGAAGTATGCCACTGGATGGGGTAGTTTGTCGGTTCCTTTTTGAATCAGCATGGCACCAAGGCCCAGAGAACTTGCATCCGTATGCAATTCAGTTGTCTTGTCAGGATCAAAGATGTTCAACACTGGATAAGCAGTTAATGACTTGATTAAGTCCGTGCGTACTTTTTCGCATTCTGCAGTCCATGCGAAAGGTTTATCCTTACGCAATAACGCAGTTATTGGGGCAGTTACACACGCGAAATTTTTAACAAATCGTCGAAAATATCCCGCTAGGCCCATAAATTGCCGTACACCTTTGACGTCACAAGGCGCAGTTGTTTGAACCAAGGCATTAATCTTTCGGGTACTAGGTCGCACTGTCCCACCCTCGATCGAAACGCCAAGATATTCAATGGCAGTTTGAAAAAAAGAACACTTCGATAGGTTTAACACGAAACCGGCCCTGGCTAAAGCATTGATTACTTCGCGTAAATTTTCAATACCTTCTTCGATAGTCTTTGACGGACATAGCACGTCGTCAATGTAAACAAATGCGATACGGTCTCTCAAAGTTCCTAAAGCTTTGTTTATAGCTTTTTGATAACAAGCCGGTGAATTCACAAAACCGAATGGCACCCGGTTGTACTCGTATAAGCCGTCTGGGGTAACGAAAGCAGTAATGTATTTCGAATTTTCTTCGATCTCCACTTGATGGAAACCCGATTTCATGTCCAGTTTGCAAAAATAAACGGCTTCAGATAAGGCATCGATTTGATCTTGAATTCTTGGGAGAGGAAAGTTTATACGGTATACTTTTTTGTTGACACTACGAAAATCTACGCAAAGTCTGATATCACCATTAATTTTTTTTACTAACACGATCGGACTAGCATACGCTGAGTCACTTTCTCGAATTATCCCGTCCTTCAACTGTTGATCAATTATTTGTTTAACTTGAAGTCGTTCAGCATAAGACAAATGGCGAGGACGACGTGCGACAGGCGTAGGATCCCGTAGTGAAATCTGTAACTTTCCAGTTGTTACTGCAGGCGGTGTATTTTTCCATGCATTTTTCAGTATTTGTTTCACTGTGGTAGCTACTTGCTCGTCCAATCCTGACAAATTAACATCATCAATATCCAGGATACGCAGGCTCATAATACGAGGAACATGCCATAGATCGTGAACCATGTTTGCACCGTTAGCAGTAACCTCCACTTTGATTCCGGGTCTTTGTAACACATCAAGACCAACCAGTGCATCAATATCACCACCTGGAATAGTTCCGTCTGGTACTACTATGAAATCGATTTCCAGTGTCATATTTGGTGTTACCATGATTGTACTACATGTTCCAATAGGACGTGTCATACTATTTCCCATTCCTGTTAATAGCTGGAAATCAGCTGACTGAATGTCTAAATGTAACATTTTAGCGACCTTCTCATGAAGAATTGATACGTCAGCAGCTGTATCGACTAAATACGGAACTGACAGAATGTTTCTATCGTGTGTTATTGTCGCATTGGGGAATGACCTGATGACGCGAGATTTCTGTGTTAACATCACACGTCTCGTGTCACTTTGTTTGCGGTAGCATCTCTCTTCTGTATGACCTATATTCTTACAGTAATTACATTTAGGCTTCACATCCGTGATTGAAACATTTTGTTTTACTCCAGAGCTAGTGGGAGCGTCTTGGTCAGCATTGAAAGTGCGGCGGATCCACTGTTTACAATCGGATTGTTTATGTCCGTATTGATTGCACTTTCGACACTTTCCTGGGAAACTCGATGATGATATTGAAGCACGTGGACGATAAGGAGGAGAGCTATACTGTCGTTTTCTTAGACGGTCTCGGGATTCAAGATTATTTTTAGATGCTACCATTTTTTCCGTGACATTTCGGGCATCACACACTGCCAATAATTTCAGCAAGTCCGTTTCACATGACGGGGCATGAAGACAGATTCTGTTCTTGACTTCCGAATCCTGTACATCATATTCCAACAGGCTGAGAATAATAGGCCATGGAAAATTCGAATAAAAGCATTTAATGGCAGCAAGTTTAGCGTTTCCATATTCCACCAATGACGCAAAGTCGGAACTTTTGATCGCCAAACATGCCCGAATTCTAGTTGCCGGAGTTCCTTGTTCTGGGAATGCCACTTCAAAATCGCGGCGAAATGAAACCCAATCCCGCACCAAAGGTTTCCAATGTTTATAAAATCTCGCCGCTCTACCTCGTAAGGCGTCCCCGGCTTTCAAAACAATTAAAGTGTCCGATAAGCAAATTTCCTGCTGAATACGAGTGACCTCATCCATCCATTCGGTCATGGTGAAGGGGGTATCGTCGGGATCAAAAGTTGACAGCTTGATCTGCGCAGAACCTACGAAGTTGTTTTCCTGACTAAGCGCAAACTGTTTGGAACTGGGCGAGGCCGTGTCCACTGGACTCTGTTGGGTAGCCATTGTTGTTAAAACCTTAATCATCTGATTTTGGAGCTGTATATTATTCCTCTGCTGCAGTTCCCACATTTTCATCATGTTACTGTTTATATTGCTCTCACTGTCAACTTGATCTGGTTCGCTTTCACTGTCACTGTACTCACTAACGAGGCTCTGTGCACTTTTGTCCGCCATTTTTCCACACAAAAGGATATTTTCTCGACAAGATTTTGTCCTTCCTCCTTCGATTTTGGGCTCAAAGGAGGTATCCCACTTCTGATGATAGATTTTAGTATAAATTAAACTCGAAATTATGGAAATGATTGTTTTTTAATGAAACTTTGAAAAATAAAATATGGAAGCAAGTTCGCAATATGAATGTCAACGACTGACTGCTGGAATTGTGCTTGACTGTTCGAACTATTGTGCTTTTTGCCCGGTCATCAGATTTGCGTTGGACCCAGTCTCCGAGGAGGTGATGAAATCATCAGTGGCGGGTTCTTGAAAGCTAACAAATATATAAATATAGTTTCCTCTTGTTATTTTTGAACACTCAAATTTTTCTAATCCATCCTGAATATAGACAACGTCAACTGAACACATTGTCCGAATATAGCCGAGCGATACAGATTTTTTCAACTATATATATATAGATTAGTCAGAATTCTATAAAGATTTTTCGATAAAGTTACTAGCTATATATGTATTATATTTATAGTATTTTCCTCACATGTATTTCTATTATTCGAACTGTACAGCAAGAATAACGTTTTGTCTATATTCTCCTCATATATAGAATATATGTTTTTTTTTTGTATAGTAACATATAAAGTATTGTTATACCACCGGTATCAGATCAATATATAGTTCATGTACCGGTCTTTCTACGAAACAATTAGTGCATTGTTGAAAATGATTGTTCTCTTACTTAAATATATAGCTATATCCTATATATACAAATAAGGAAAATGGATCTCCAAATATATGTTGCTAAGCGTTAAACTCGAGAACGGCTGGACCAATTCAGATTTTTTTTTTAATCAGTATTATACTTGAAGTTGGAATAAAGTTCTTGCATGTGAAGGGATAGTAAAAAAGTTGCACGGAAAAATGTGAAAGTCCTTTAATTACCTTTATAGACGGAATAACGCGTTAGTAAAGATTCCTGTACCGAATCTATATTAAAACTTGCCTCGTCAATAAAGAAATTTTCGCGCTCCGGTGAGACTCTAGTGGGGTTAAATGAAAGCTGCAAATGGGGTAATTTCAAATCTGAAATATCGGTTCCAAAACATTCAAAACACGTATTGAGATAGTCTTTGATTCCCAATTGAACATAATATCCATTGTCCATACGCGGCGAGTTCACGGATCTATAGGTGTTCTAATATATACCTATTACCTCATACCTATCATAGGTATATAGGTACTGATTTTCATTCATTAATGTGATGAGTTTTTGAGCAAAAATTTCATTTGCTTTATTCATTTTACATTCATCCATCCACATCAAATTCGAGCATCTTGATTTTTTCTTCCAACTCATGTTTCTCCTTATATAAACTTATTTGTACTTCCTTTCTTAATATCTCAAGTTTTTCATTGTGGAAGATGACATTATCCAATACTTCCACATTTTATATCCTTGATCATGACCAACAAGTTGATAAGAGGAAAATCCATACCTTATTCTGGTAAAGGTATGCCTATAGGTACTATATATACAAATGGAATACTGCATTGAACAAGAATAATTTGGTAATGGTAATATATATATATACAGCCATATGCCACACAATAGAGGATACTAAAATAACAAAAAACAGTTTCCTATGAACATGGGTCCACAAGGCCTTCGGTTAAAATATACGGGGTGTTGAATTTACAATTTTTTTGGGAGTTTTTTGAATATCTTAAGCCAGAGACACAAGAAATGGATTCAAATATGATCTTAGTTTTGTGATGACTGATAAAGGGCGCTAATACATACAGGGTTCCATCTCTATATATTGAATCGGTCGTAACACGTATATATAAGTACACTGTGATGTATATGTCATTTTCGACGGAAAAAATTTATTATCCCTTCTTTTATACTTGAGAAAGGTATACCATGTCCAAGTCGCTAGAAGCAATGGTTCCAGTACAAATGCATCTAAAAGCAGACAATGCACGCAAATTATTCAAAAAGCGCCAAAGTATAACTTTTGCAAAAATAATGATAAATACTTCAACAATTACATTTTAATGGTATGATGAAAGATATGATTAATTAGAACAAAACATTAAGTTTTTAGAAGATGTTCAAATTGCTGCCCTCATATACTTTTATCAATACAATTTTCCATTTAAATTCAACACCCCGTATCTTTTAACCGAAGGCCTTGCGGACCCATGTTCATAGGAACTTTTTTCCTTATTTTAGTGTCCTCTATTGTGTGGCACTATGCGATGTACTTTTTTATATGTCACCCTGTATTCCACTACTAAAACCATCTATTTTGTTCAGTTTTTCAGTCAAGCCCGCCACTGGTCAATCGAAAATGTTCGGGGATGTCGATAGCTAGCTTTGGCAGTATACTTCACATTAGTCAGTAATGTTGAGATTGTTTTGTTTTGTTTACCTGATTTTGAGGTTATAACATTTCAAAATGAGTGAATTTGAACTACATGATATTGTCACTGCACTTTTAAGTACATTAGGGTAATAGTTCTCTAATATATCAACTCATTTTCTGTAGACAATTATTCATTTTTCAGGGGTAAAGTCACTCCGAACAAGTTAGTAGAATATCTACAAGAAAGACAATCTAGAAATACTGCAGGATGCTCAATCATTATTCAGAAACATTTAACTCGGCTTTCTCAAGATATTTCTGATCCAGATACATTTTTAGCCAAATACAATGATCTCAAGGATAAAAAGTGAGTGCACAAATATCTAGAATATTATTTATGTTATTATTATATCTGCCTCTTCAATTCCTAATCCACATTCTTATTTGCCATCAAGTTGATGTTATAGAAGGTATAATGAAGTAATGAATCATATCCTGGATAATATCACAGATATTACCTATAAGTACCAGCCTTCATCCATCCACTTTTGCCTAATTGATTTTCACAGAGATCTACCTACCCAGATTTACCCAAAGACAAACTTCATGAGCAAGAAAATGGATAAGAAAAGTCCCTGGAAAATCAGAACACTATACTTATCTGCCAGTTAAGTTTTTAGTGGTTTTTAGTTACAAGTTACAAACAGCTATTAGGCAGCTATTATCCTGTTGGCCTTAGAATCTATTCTATTCCACATTGAATTTTGTGTAGATAACTGATCATTAGTTGGAATGAGGACTACTTATTCCAAAGGAAGTGAAGAAATGAAATTAGTCCTTCAGTCAAAAGATGCCACCAACTTCCTTATTTTAAATAAGAACCTAAGTTTTTTTAATATTTTTTACTTGGTTGGATTGGCTTTCTAACTTTCTAAAGTTGTGAGTTTACACTGCCTGATCTAGCTGATTTATATAGAAAAAGAATATTCTCAGATATATTATGATGATTAAAAAAATTGATACATACAAAGAAATACATTATAAGAATTCACATTCTCCATCAGATGAAAATATTGATTCTTTTTTAGTATATTCAACAGAAAACAAATACTTTTCTGGCTATATGCCATGACAAACATTGAATTACATCTGTTGAACACACATAATTAATATGGATGTGAAAATACTTCTGGAGTTGAATATATTATTATGCATTCTCTTTCAGATAAATATATAGGGTGTTCATTAGTCATGGATCAAAAGAAGTGGGGTGGTAGTGAGGGTCATTTCAAATCAAACTAACCATATATTATGTGGTTATCCAATTGTTGATTCAAAAGTTATTAAAGTTCTTTCATTCCTATAAAAAGAATTTATTACAATAAAACTGTCACATTTGTGATTTTCTCTTCTACAAGTTTCATCCACATTTATGCACCTTCCACCAGAAATAATTTTACAACATGCTTCACTCTTTATAATTAAATGTTGTTTTCCTTGAGTTTTGTCATCAAATGAAATATTTTAGTTGATTTCTAAATGCTGCTAGCTGATTTAGAAACTACCCCACAAAGATAACCAATTATAAGAAATAGTTGCCCATTTAATACAGATTTCGAAATGGTATAACATATGAGGTTATTCAAAACAGCCTTTTTGTTATTAATTTTTTTGAATGGGTCGCAGTTTTCAGAAAAATTCAATAACTTCTGAACCATCCATAATTAGATAACAACATATACCATTAGTTCGATTACAAATGATCCCCCCTACTATCCCACTTCGTTTAATTCATTACTTATGGGACACACAATATACAGTGTGTCCCACTTACCATGCTCACCATGGGTACCTTTTTAACGGTGAGAGATACGAGGTCGGTTAAATGACACCAAATGTGGAGTTTGTCAAGGCCAACTATAATGTGAAAAAATATTTTGATGAAATCTATTCGTTTTTGTTTTATACACAAAAAACAGATTTTGATCATTTTCATGTCTCCTCCATAACTTCTTTATTAAAGAAAATATTCAAATAGGAATTTCACGTTTTCATGGCAGTTTTTCAAAGTGATTTCGAAAAAAATATGAAATTTATACTAACTCTTCTAGAATTTGAGATATCAGCACCAACTTTAGTTTTTCAAATGTAGGTCATAGCTCACTATGACTTAGTTACAAATAACTTTTTTTCTCTTACAGATGATATGTGGCAGTTATAGTCTCGGTTATACTTTTGTGTTGATAACAACGGAGTTATCGTCATTTATACCAAAACAAATAATTATTCGGAAGTTGCCATCTTGAATTTATGAATTTTAACAAAAAAATCATGATCCTTGACCTCGAAAACCACCACTTACCAATTTTGAATGAAATCGGGCCAAATCTTGTCCGACATCTTGGAGCAGCCATTTTATTTAATTTCAACAAAAATTCCATAATGTATTGTCACCAAAATTATGAACATCTGCCAAATTTCAAGTCAATCGGAGTTATGGAATTTTTGTTGAAATTAAATAATATGGCTGCTCAAAGATGGCGGACAAGATTTGGTCCGATTCCATTCCAAATTGGTAAGTGGGGGTTTTTGAGGTCGGAGATCATAATTTTTTTGTTGAAATTCATAAATTCAAGATGGCGGCTTCCGAAAAATGTTTTGTTTTTGTATAAATGACGATAACTCCGTTGTTATCGACACAAAACTATTTCTGCGACATATCATCTGTGAGAGAAAAAAAAGTTATTTGTAACTAAGTCATAGTGAGCTATGACCTACATTTGAAAAACTAAAGTTGGTGCTGATATCTCAAATTCTAGAAGAGTTGGTATAAATTTCATATTTTTTTCGAAATCACTTTGAAAAACTGCCATAAGAATGTGAAATTCATATTCGAATATTTTCCTAAATAAGGAAGTTATGGAGGAGACAAGAGAATGATCAAAATCTGTTTTTTGCTTATAAAACAAAAACTAATAGATTTTATCAAAATATTTGTTCACATTATAGTTGGCCTTGACAAACTCCACATTTGGTGTCATTTAACCGACCTCATATCTCTCACCGTTAAAAAGATACCAATGATGAGCATGGTTAGTGAGACACACTGTATATGTATACAGGGTTTTTGTTAATTCCACACATTCCTATGAAGATGTGATGGAGGAGGTTGGGAGAAGTGAATTCAACCCTAATATGCATTATGCAAAAGTTGATGGTTTTTGAGATATTTGAATTTTTCTGTTTGTTTTCTGAAAGGTAGACTTTGAGGGTTTGAAAGTTAGTTTTCAGAAAATCTAACGTTGTTTTTCCCTGTATAATAATCAACTCATCATTTTTTGTATTTATTGAAATTCTTGCTAACACTCCCAAACATTGATCTATGATTTGGTTAAAATTTCACCAGAATCGACTTACAGGGCGATCAATTTGCCAAATTTTGTTGCTGGCCGGGCTTTTTTTGCCGGTGAGTCTATATGATAACTGCAATTGTTTATAGTTTATAGTAGTAAGGTAGTTGTTCATCGTTATTTTTCATGATATAATCAACAACGACGCCAAGTTGTCTTCTTTTTTTATTATTTTTTTCATCCCTACGTCATCCGTACGCCACAGTTTGCCTCCCCGAAAATTAGAAATTGTTTTATTTTGAAAATGAAAACGACTTGGACTTTATCGATCGCCATTCAGTACAGCGTGGACATAAAACTGAGGGATTCCTAACTTATTTTATGAAGATTCATCTGTAGGAAACTTCTTCATTATCCTGTTTAAGTGAACACGGCAACGTCTCAGTCGCGCTAGCAAAATTGCATGGCAGTTCACAATGACGTCAGCAAGATGGCGAAGGAGCCAGAACGTTACCACCGATACAACAAGGCCAGCAGCGAGGCCAGCAGACTCTGACGTAAACAGCTCGTGACGTCACCAAGAGAGGCCAGTGTTTTATTTTATCGCTTGTTGACTAACGCTTCAGTTCGTGTTAATTCATCAGTGATTCACGTATGTTTTTGAAACGGTCCCGAATTCTTTTGTTGTTTATTCATCAAAATAATTGGCGAAAAAATTACTGTTTTGTGAAATATTTTGTGTTGTGATCGACGAAATAACAATGCCTTTCAAGTGTTGTGTTCCCTTTTGTCGGGGGAATTATGTGGGTGGTTCAAAAGTTCATGCTTTTAGTTTCCCATTGGACGAGGAGCTATCGAAAATGTGGGTATATGCAATTCACCGCGAGGATTTTACTCCATCTAAGTTCAGTAGTAAACAGAGCTTAATTTATAATGATGAATTAATAATAGAAGACAATTACTCTCTCATAAAACGTACAAGTAGAGAAAAAATAGAAAAGCTTTGATTGTGCAGTTAGTTTTGTATTCGTATATTATAGTCAACAAAATCATCTCTGAATTCGAGGAAATTTTCTTGAATGTTCATAATAAACGGGCATTTTCATTCTCAAATTTCTTTTTGAAAACGGTCATTTGCCTCGTGGCAATGAATGCAGAATTCATTCCAATGATCAAATTGCAACTATCATATTAACATGAACTACAAACACTCTACTTGAAAAGGTAAAACTGCATTTATCATGATATTTATCATGAAGATATTTGACTGAAAAGTTCAAAATTTCACCTTCTTTTTCACCTGTCTTCTGGATGGCATTTAGAACAAATTTCCCTTCTTTTCTCATCATATTGGACAATTTATATATAATTCAACTATAAATATGATTTTCTTGAGATTAATCCATATTTAGTGAAAAGAAGGAAGAATATCATATCATATCAAAATAATGGCGTGTGTAATGTCATTTGAAAGCAATCTATTGACATTTGACATCTCGTATTTTGATTGACTATTGATTAAATGGTCGTCATCTGGAATGCTTGTTCACTAAATATGAAAAACTCGCCATAAAAATCATATTTCCTGTTGCATTTTCTATATAAAAATGTGCCATCCAAGTACATCATGAGTATATAAAGTGTCCAATGACCGAGCCAATGACAAAATAAGAGCAAGTAGCTTCAAATGTCCCCAACACAAGGGGAGAAAGAAGGCGAAATTTCGAACTTTTTCTTGAAATATCTCAATAAATAGTGGTTTGTTCACATATTCATTATAAAATTCGGTTTATCAGACAAAAATACGTGAGAACCAAAAAAAACCCTCGCATGATAAATGCAGTTTTACCCTTAAAAATTACGGTTTCAAGTGTAATGATCCACTTGGGTGAAAAATCCAACAACAGAAAATTGAAAACACTCACTGGTTATTTTTTCAGGTAATAGGAATTCTCCAAGATGAATATAGGTAATTGTAACAAACGGCATGTCAATCTAAATAAAATACATTTTCCACAATTTTCTTTCGATCAATCTCACGATAAGTTTATGTTCTGCGGGCCCTGTATAAGTAGGTGTGAAGTTTACCTTCACCACAATTTTTGCCAATATATTTAATTCGAATGGGTTGCTGTAGGTGGATATTTGTATTTTATCCTGGTTTTTGCTTTAAAACTTCGTTTTTCCATAATAAAATCGAATGGGGTGCGAAGAAGGGCTGAGTTGACGACTGGCATCCTTTTTCAACCGGGAGCCCTTCAAAAAACAGCAAAATCGGCTCAATGATGATTTAAAACTGAAATCGAAATACGCGGTCGCTATAAGCGCTTGTCGTTTCGAGCCTCACTAAGTGACGTCACCCACGGAGCATGCAGGCCTTGTTGTATCGGTGGTAACGGCCAGAACCAATTATTTATATGACGTATACAATCAGGTATACAATTATTGTATTATCATAAACTTCCCGGAGAAATAAACATCGGGATACGGGAAAAAACACAAAAATTACCAAAAACAACCCGTTTGTAGGGGTCGCCAAGATTGATTGATTGAGAAGGTTGACCGATGACACCGTACATGGTGAATTCCCGGCCTTGCATGCCAGGGTTGCCATCTCGATTTTTATTTCATCAGTAGATATACCTTGTCAGAAATTCAGTAGATTTATTTTGTGCCATACAAATTTCAGGATAATGAAATGAACCTATGACGTCAAAAAAATATGTGCTTTTTTATGACGGAAAAAAATGACATTTTATTTATGTGGGCATGTCACTTTTCATAAAATTACTTTTTTCCCACGAAAAAGTGAGTGTTTGCTCACCAACATATTGAGTTCTTAGACGCATTCGAATTCATTATCGGTGGCGCCAGAACATGTATTTACAGAGCGTGCACAAATATCACCCAAGATATTATGAGTCTATATGATTGAATAAAGATCGATAATAATGAGTGATTATAATAATGAATAAGTGTCATGTTTTTTTTTTCAGTAGATTATGAATGTATCAGTAGATCAATATCTTTCAAATCGCTCACAATTTGTCTCTTTGAAGAATTCTCGGTCTAATGCCAAGAAGGTAACCCTGGGAGTGCCGCAAGGGTCCATCCTCGCTCCGATACTTTTTAACCTCTATACGAATGATATAAATCAATTGAATGTTCCAGCATCCCTCACCTGTTATGCTGATGATACCTCGATAATGGTTTGCAAACAATGATTTGTTTCTTAATAGCAGCAAGACTTCATCAGTTAGATTCCATACAAGACAAAAACAATGTAATGATCTGAGCTTTAGGGTTGGTGAGTCAACCCTAAACACGAATCAGGAGGTTGTTAAATTCTTAGGCGTATTTCTTGATGAATGTCTTACCTGGAATAAGCACTGTGAATACATTGTGAATAAAATTAATGTTATAAATTTTCAACTCAGGACTCTGAGAAATACCTTGAATTTAAATCAATTGTGCAGTCTCTACTTTGCTCAAGTGGACTCACGTATCTGATATGGTATATGTTTCTGGGGGTCATCTACATCAGCGAAATATATTTTTCTGGCTCAAAAAAAGGCTGTAAGAAGTATGATGGGCATTCAGAGTATGGATTCCTGCAAGCCTTTTTTCATAAGGTTGAAGATATAAACGCTGCCCTGCCTCCTTATATTTGAATTATGTATCTATGTATTTGTTAACAAGCAACTGTTTGCTCGCAACAGTGATATACATGATGTGAATACTCGCTCAAGGAACGAATTCTATATTCAACCAAGCAGAACAAATATTTTGAGTAATACACCAAATATCCTAGGTCGTAGAATATTCAATAACTTACCTGAATATTTGAAAAATGCAAAAAAAGTATCTTCTTTCAAAAAATGCTTGAAATCATTCCTCATAGAAAAGTGTTTCTACTCGCTAACAAATATTTTCATAAATGGCCATTGACCATGTTTCTCTCTTTTACATAATGTTCGTCCATCATATTATGTAATCTGTCATTTATCTAGTTTTAGATTTATATATTTGTAACATCCTGACTATTCCTATACTTTTTTAGAAAGTCTAAAGGAAAATAAAGATATTTATTTATTTAGTTATTTAATATGCAAATCAGTAGATCTCCTGAAAACTCAGTAAAACTGGCAACCCTGTCGCATGCTAACTTGTCAATCTGGTGGTTCCTCGATCTTTATTTTTGTGTCCTGACAAAAACAAACAACGTCGTGCACTAGCAATGATGTCAGTTTGTGAAGTGGTGGTAAAGAGTACATTATATTAATATTATCTCTTATTTCATCATGAGTGATAAACGCACGTTTTATCGTTTTCATTCTCAGGCAAGAAACTTCAAGATTCCTTGTTTTCTTGACAGGAAATTTTGTCATTGACATGAAATTTCTTGTCTTTTATTGAAATCTAAAATTACTTTTTGTCTTAATCTTGTCTTGAGATCAAGACTAGATCTTGAAATTTTCAAGAAGTTGGTGACCCCTACCCGTTTGTACTCCATTGGTAATTAACTAACCATTTGTCTTTGTTTCATGATTGATCTTTCAGTGTTGACTCTTTGAATTCGTATGTGGAATTGCTGGATTTGATTTCTCAAGATCACAGCTTGAAGGACTTCATTCTAAGGAGTACCAAGCCGACATCTTGCTCGAAGGCAGAGCTGACGAAAGATGATTTACCTCAGGTGATTTACAATATTCATTAGCCTTATTCTGGAACTTATTGGCAGAGTATGTTGATTCTTCCGCTATCTCAAGGGGAAGGTTCTTCAAGTAATCCTTTGTGAAAAATAGCTTCCTTTTCGCATCTTCAGCCTCCGTGGTTGACAGTGCAACTGTAGATTGTTTTTTTGGTTGTCACCTGATTGCACCGCTGCTTATCATGAAAATGTACTTAGTAGTTAGTTGATTTCCAGTCGTTATCATTTGTTTGGAAATTGACTTATGGATCACTCTTGTGTTTTTTTCACCACTTATTTCACCATTATACAGGGTGTCCGCTAAAAGGAGGTCAATCCATTAACCATATTTTCCTTGAACAATAACAATATGAGTTTCTAAATACCATTTTTCATTTTAGCCCTTTATATTCGATATACAGGGTGTCAAAGTTGAGAATTATAAACTGTTTTCTTCTAATTACTCGCATATTTAAGAATATATCAATCTCATGGTACATTACTTCAGCACAAAGAGTTAGATCGTGTGAGGAGAACAATCAGAAAATAACTGTCAAATATTCAAAATACTGGGGGTACACACTTACCCCTATATTTTTTTTGTACGTGCGCTAATGACTTCCTATCTATTTTTCTTCAAGTGTTCAATCATTTTTGAGTATTTTTTGTTTCTTGTAAAATTTCGATAAAATTATTTGTTTTTACGATAATTCGAAGAGTACTGGTTATTGTTTGATGCCAATGCAGCTTACAATCTCATAATGTTCACATACTCCTATTTATTTCGTCGGAATTGGAAGAGAGCGTGTTTTTTCACGTACGAAAAGGTAAATATCGACATACCAGGTGCTCAGAGCGAATGTATAGAAATTATTATTACAAAAAAAAAAGTGAGGACACGTGTCGAATGAAGTTTTTTTGCCAATCGAACGGCGTGAATTTTTTTTCATGGGGTCAAATAAAAACAATGTTTTTGGAATTTCGGGAAAATATTGATTTTAGGAGGATGGGGGTGAGGTCGATTGACGAGCCCACCCTTCTTAAGGATTCCTTCTTAATCGGTTTGAGCGATTTTGGTGGTGCGGAATTTTTTAAAAATATTTTCGAGTCTCTTTCCCACCGTATTGTATGTCGGGCGCAAACGAAAGGGAAATAAAATCGAAAAAAATGAAAAAAAAATATTTTCGGAAACTTTTGGTGAAATTATGATATTCATGATTTCAATAGCTACTTGATGAAAAATATAGCAGATAAGGATTGTCTATGGATGTATGTTTTGTGCATAAGCCACATATTTTTCAAAGGCTAAGATTTTCTTTAATCAAAAGGGCTCGCATGTGTATTAAAAAAATTCATATCGAGCAATCCATTTAGGCGTGTTGAATTTCTATCGATTTTTTTTTCGTTAAAATTATTTTAATACATTCGCTCTGAGCACCCGGTATTTCTATATTTACCTTTTCCTACGTAAAAAGTTACGCCCTCTTCCAATTTCGACGAAATAAATAGGAGTATGTGAACATTATGAGATTACCGTAAGCCGCATAGGCATCAAACAATAACCAGTACTTTTCGAATTATCTTAAAAACAAATAACTTTATCGAAATTTTAAAAGAAACAAAAAATACTTAAAAAGGATGGAACACTTGAAGAAAAATAGATAGGAAGTCATTAGCGTACGTACGAAAAAAACATGGGGGTAAGTGTGTACTTGAACCCCAGTGTTTTGAATATTTGACAGTTATTTTCTGTTTTGTTTACCTCACACGATGTTACTCTTTGTGCTGAAGTAATATACCAATTTTGAGATTGATATCTTATTAAATACGCGAGTAATTAGAAAAAAACAGTTTTTAATTTCCAACTTTGACACCCTGTATATCGAATATGAAGGGCTAAAATGAAAAATGGTATTTAGAAATTCGTATTGTTTTTGTTCAAGGAATATATGGTTAATGGATTGACCCTTTTAGCGGACACCCTGTAGAAAGATTCCATCTAATGAGAAGTAACATTTCTTCAACCAAGGTGAATAATAAAAAAACTGTTGATAGTGTCAATGATATGCATCATACATACGTAGATACTGATGCCTACTCTATGACAGCAATGTACTTAATATCAGAATGCTATTTTTCCTCAGTAACTGTCAATTCATGTTCAAAAACAAATGTTCGCAAACATTTTCATCTCACTCATATAAGACACGTCAAGTTACAAAGAAATATTTATCCGTACCTTTCTGTCAAAAAGACTCTACTCAGAGGTTTGCAAAGAATATAGCCCCCAGAATTTATAATATGCTGCCAACTGAGATCAGAAATGTTGATAAATATAAAATGTTCTCTAAGATGTGTAGAGTTTACATAAACAATAATTATAATTTATTCAGAACTTGTCTGGATATCAAATAGGTAGGTCGTTGTAGTAATTCGAAAAAAAAAACTGTTCTTGTGTTTATTGAGATTACTTTATATATTAGTTTTCGACTCGAAAATAACAGTTTTTCAGAACAGGAAATATATCTTTGAAAGCTATTTAAATGAGTTAGGATATAATGCACACACAGGTGTTACACCTAGGTGCATGTTCAAATCTAGAATCTACATGTAGAAATATCTGTATCGAACATGTATGTATGATATATATAGTAATGAATTGTATTAAATGTAAAGATTAAATGTAAATGTAAAATCAATGAAAAATTATACATTCATTATTTACTAAAACCATTATAGTCCAGTCATTATATACTTTGACCCGTGAATAATTTTTAGTGTTTTTTTTTTCATAGGTGTCTCGGGGGGGTCACTGGGAGTGTAAATTCAAAATGGCGACCAAATCAAGCTTTTGCGTATGTTTTTTTTTTGTTAAAAAACGGTTTTTCTTGAATAACTCGGCCATTTTTGATTCTACAGAAAAAGTTTGGGGACAAAAATTGTAGTAAATTTGGTTCTCTACAAGTTTGGTCCTCACAATTTGTCTGATAGGATCGATATTTTGTAAATTAAACCTGAAAAAAGCGACAAATTCGAAATATTTTCATTATCATTTTCATTTTATTGTATACAACTTTCGCCCTATTCGTTGCACCTGCAGAATTGAAAAAGAGGAGATATTGCGAATATTTCTGAATGGGTACATATTTTCTGGTTAAATTCCGAAAATATCGATTTTCGGAAAAACAGGTAAAGACCAAATTTGTCGAAAGTTTGATTCTCTACAAGTTTGTTCCATCTTATTTATGGTGTAAAGTTGAGAATAAACGAGATAATGATGATATTTCGAATGAGTCGCTTTTTTCAGGTTTAATTTACAAAATATCGATCCTATCAGAAAAATTGTTAGAATCAAACTTGTAGAGAACCAAATTTACTACAACTTTTGTCCCCAAACTTTTTCTGTAGAATCAAAAATGGCCGAGTTATTCAAGAAAAACCGTTGGGCGAGTAGACTAATAATGAATTATTGGCATTCAATTACTCCACTGTATCGTTAGGAACCTAAATCAATTTTTGCAACACGCTTTTTTACGTAAATAATGAGTCTATGTGTTGTTCAAAATTGTTGAAATTCAGAGCTTATTTCAAACGTACCGTCATGGCCGCCATTTGAGATCTAACACCCATCTCAGTTTGTACCTGAATCACTATACCGGGTGGCTACGGAAGTATTGCCTACGGAATATCTCAGTTATTGTATGAAGTAGGTTCGCGAAATTAGGAGCGTCGATATAATGACATAAAAGCTAGAATTTGAGCATGTTAACATGTCGACGTTAACTTCCGGTCTGACCGGAAGTAACATCAACTTTCTTATTTTAAATGAAAACCCAATCTTTTTTCTTTTCGCTTTATTCAGCATTCAATTCCCTTTCTGATGACATATCACAAGTTGGTATCTAACCAGAAACTAGATCAGAAAAAAAATATTATTGAAATTCACCGAGTAGGCCGTGGAAGCAAAATGAAAGCCAAAAATTGAAAAGTTGGCTATGGAAACCATAACAATGGTTATGCTGAATAGTACAGGCAAGAAAAAGTTGTATGTTCCCATTAAAGTTATGGACCTACAGAGTATTGTTTTTTTCCCAATTTTTCCAAAATTTTTTATGGCGGCTTTTCATAACGCCGACGAATGAAAATAAAATATCACAGTAGTAGCAACTGTTATCAAGTGAGGTATGGTTTCCATAGCCAACTTTTCAATTTTTGGCTTTCATTTTGCTTGCTCGGCCTACTCGGTGAATTTCAATAATAATTTTTTTCTGATCTAGTTTCTGGTTAGATACCAACTTGTGATATGAATGTTGAATGTTGAATAAAGCGAAAAGAAAAAAAAATAGGGTTTCCATTCAAAATAAGAAAGTTGATGTTACTTCCGGTCAGACCGGAAGTTAACTTCGACATGTCAATATGCTCAAATTCTAGCTCTTATGTCATTATATCGATGCTTCAAATTTCACAAACCTACTTTATACAATAACTGAGATATTCCGTAGGCAATACTTCCGTAGCCACCCGGTATATTCGAATATTTCATGCTTTGTAAATGTTGTGAAAGTAAAAAATCATTCTATTCTAAATTTTAATAAGTACATGTTATATATTATGTATATTTCAGAATTCTTTTGGGCAACACCACAGACAAATACACTGGTGTTTCGTGGAGTTCTATTTTAATTCTAAAATTATATGTAAATTGTCTATCATGTACTACTTATTGTTAATTGGAAATAGAAAAAATGAACAAAATTTTTTCTTTATAAATACCCAGCAGCTGGCTAAATACGTACTACCCATCACTAGATAACACTTCTCCAGAAAGAGAAAGAGTTCCTAAATGTATTTGACACTGCTTTTTTGACGTTTTTTTATATTAGAGTACGGACAGTATGACAAGCACTGACAATCAGACATAACTACAAATCAATGGGCGTGTACACCTTGGTAGAACTTTTAACTCAAACCATGTTTATAATGATCCTTAATGACATAAATAATGATTGACGACATAATTCGATCGA